GGTCCCTTCTTGTTGCCTAGGCAAGGAGTATTTTCCCAGCAATATTAGGAGAGTCAGTATTTGATACTTGGTATGTTCCGTGCCCTTAAGCTCTCAATTTCTTGCCCTCAACTGTATAGGAAGAAAGTTTGCCATCATCAATGTTGAAATTTCAACTATCAGAAATGTGAAATTGAGATTATAGTGCCACTTTATCTGTTTCCTCAAGCAGTCAGATATCTTGAGCCAACACTGTGTGATTGTATGGAGAGACCCAAAGTTGTTTTTAAAAATAGAACAATAGAATTTAACGAAAAAAAATTTACGCAAGATATTTTATTTCAGATGTTGTATCTGACATTTCATATAATAGAAACACTTCTGTTCTGAAAACTTAATTCTTGTAGACTTCCAAGCATATTTTTAAAAAGCATTCAAAGGATTGAATGTAAATATATTAACATAATCAATCCAGATAAGATTGTCAAGTGAGTGAACTTTATTCCAGATGGAAGAATTTATGCAGTTGTCAGTAGCCCTTTGCTAGGTAGCTTACTGATATAAAAGAGGCAATGTATCATGGTCTCAGTATTTATTGAATTTCTCTCTCAAATCCTCTTCATGCCTTATTTCATTATTTGGATATTAACTGTTATATTTTCTACCCCCAACTAATCTCTTCTTTGTACTTTTCCATGATCTTTTTCATTTATTAATTATAAGCATCACTGAAAGGATTTGTTTGTAGAAATTTAACCATTATTTATCATTACAATGTTTAGTTTCTGCTACCTGACATTTTATTAAACATTATTCTTTGTCAAAGTGTATAATAGTACCACTTGTAAAAAAAAAGTTCATAGAAAGTTATGTTTAACTGCTTTAGACAGTAACTTGTAGTAAAGCTTTTGGTCCATTTTTGTCTACAGATGTTTTGGATTAGCAGTATATCCCCAGCCAAAAAAAAAAAAAGAGAAAAGTTTTTCTGTGTATGATTTTGTATTGGCCAGAAAAGGAAAAAAAGGAAAGGAACTGCTGCTATATTATTTGCATGGCTACAAGCTTATACAAGTTTAATCAGAAGTAAGCCTTATTGAATTTAGTAAGTCTCCTGAATCAGCATGTAGAGGAACAACATTTTCAACAAATAACCTACTTATTTTTGAATACAAGTGCAGGGAAAAGTATATTTAACTGATGCTCTACCTTATTTCTGAATAGTTATTTGTTTGAAAGGTATGTGTAATAATGCCCTACTTATTTTGGAAATGCCTCTCTTTTTTCTTATTTTTTCGCCCCCTCAGTATTGGAATATAGACCTCAAAATCGGGTCTGGGTAAAAACTGGATCCATGTGGATCCTCCTAGAACTTCACAATTTTACGGTGCATCCATTTGAAACCATCAATTATTCATAAGTATTCAGTTACGAATTACATCTGCCTGCAGTCACTGTGCCACTATAATCATGGGTGGATCTGGCACTCTTTGTATTCCCATGACACAAAAACATGGGATCCATCTGAAACCACAGTAAAAACACAGGATGCATTTGCCTGCTCAGAATGACTGATTACAATCAAAGATCTGGCCTACTAACACGACATGGTGCACAAACATGATTCTGAAGCCCATAGTTCCAGAATTCTTTCAGTTGATTTTTTTAAGCCTTGTTTCCTAACCTGACCTAATCTGGGTCTTACAGTTCTGTTGACAAGGAAATAATTTCTTAGAAAATCATCCTTTCCTGTATTCTGATTTCCTGTCTTTGATCCTTCATTTGTTTTTTCTCCTTTATTGTTATATTCGCATAGTTTGTGCGGTTCCCACTATTGCTTTTAAATGCTCCAGCTTTCCAATGACATTCTGAAGATGAAAAATGTTAGGTACAGTAATCTCAGGGTTAAATATATTTGATTCTGCTTTCTCATGCTTTGGGGTGCGTAGGTATGGCATTCCTTTTTCCCCCCTTGATTGTGGTTTGGGAAGATCCTTCAGATGTTCTGGAATTTGTTCCCAGGGCACTCTGGATATTTAAACATCTTCAGGCCATTCCTTAAAGCTCTGCAGTTATTTTAAAAAATCACTTAGAAGCATTTCTTTTCACCTGGTAATTCTTGTTCTCCCTCCATATCCCTGAGTAAGCACTCAGCTATGCTGGAATGCCAAATTGCTTCTATCTCTAAAATGCTTAGGGCTGAGATTTTAACTTATGTTCTATTATTGTTTATAGATAAATAAGCCTAGGGAAGGATTTTCAAGAGATGTAATTTTTTTTACAACTGTTTCTTACTTTACTTTATCCTATAAACATATATAGAACTAATAGTCCAACTCACGAATTCACAGTGTTAATAAATTATTAGGCCAACTGAAGCTGTATATGAACTGCAAGGTTTCAAATAATCTAGACTCTTCATTAAGTGAAATGTTTAAAGAAAAAAATGGAATAGGGAAAAAAAGACTAATGTTGCTGCTGTCTCTTTCTATTTTTAACCATGCCACTGATAGAAAGGAGGGAGAAATACCACACCAGAAGCATGGCACCCCATCCTAACAAGTGTTGTCTGAATCTTTCTGCCATTTTATGTCTAGATGATTCCCATAATCTTATTTACAGCATGAGTAAATCTCACTGAAATCAGTAGACATAATTATGAATAGTACAAATAAAAGTATTATTATTAAATTTGTACAATGCCTGACTCCTAGCGACTTGAAAATAATGTAATTATACAGGTCAGTTGTCTGCATAGGAAGAAATCTAGAATAACACCATTAATTTAGATAGCTGTGCTGCTTATGTGTTTTTAAAGTAAAACTAATTTGGGGAAAAATGGTTTGGAGGTGGTTAAGGCATCAGGCTAGAAACTGGGAGACCATGAGTTCTAGTCCTGCCTTGGCATAAAGCCAGCTGGGTGACCTTTGGGCCAGTTACTTTCTCTCAGCCCTAGGAAGGGCAAACCACTTCTGAAAAACCTTGCCAAGAAAACTGCAGGGACTTGTCCAGGCAGTCTCCAAGAATTGGACATGATTGAATATATTAAAAAAAAAATTGGGGGAAAATGGTTTGGAGGTTCTAGACAACCATAACTGCTTTAGGCAATAATAAAAATGAAGTGCACAGTAATTATAATGCTGTATCAAACAGCAGATTAAATGTGGACAAAGTTCCTGCTCTGTCGATATGTTCCATGAGAAGGGGCATTTGAATTAATGAGATTTCTGTTCCATGTTTATCATTTTTATATATCTTCTTTTTTATATGTATAGAAATGTGTAAAGCCTGGCCAGTTTAAACAATAGAAGCTTAGGATCTTTCATAATGGTATTTTAATATATAGCCATTAAAAATAAATGAATGATAGCAAGATGACCAAGATTTTGAGATTCTGAAAATCAACTTGGAGATGAGTAAAGAAGCAGGACTCTGCCACTGTGTTCCATTTTTCTTATTTACCCAGAATTAATGCACAGCCATAGTACACTTCCTAAAATTAACACACAGTGTTGTAGTCATCAACATAGTGCTTAGCAGAAAATATGAAGATTGCTTTAAAAAAATGGTGCTTTACTAAAGGAACAAACATATTAATATGGTGCAAATAACACAACATATACTGCGTATCTTTCACTGTTACTAGATACAAACATTGGCAAGCCATGCCATTTAAATTAATAATAGTATTATTAACTGTTCATATATAAACTGAAATTAAAAGAAACAAGAAAAAAGACTAATTCTGATGCTGACAAACCACACATGTTGGCTATGCATTGCTACAAGTCTGTTGTAGGCTTATCCTTCCAGTATTATATAATGTTTTGGCCACTCCAAAAAAAACCAAAACAAAACAAAAAACCATATAATCCTGTGCAAGGAAAAGAAGCTAGGTACTCTTGAAGGCAGGAACTGAACTTTCTTATTTGTATAGCTCTGAAATCCTTTTATCAAAATGTATGCCTTGATTGTTCAGCAATTTGTTGGACTGAGCTATGAAAGGGTTATAATGACCCTTGAAAGTGAGTATTCAATAATTTGGTAATTCTAGTTCTGTGAAGAAAATAAATTTACTTATTAAAATTTCAGATCTTCTCATTATACATATAAATGGTCTGTGATTACTCAGAAAGTACTAAGCTTACATCTCTTAAAATATCCTTTGGACTTACTTTGTTAGTAGCGTTTGTATATTGACTGAATGAAATTTGAAGGTATCCCTTTGAAATTTTCTATCTTGGGTCGGGGGAGAAAGAGATTGCACTTCTGTATACATTGGAACTGGGTTTTGCATGTACTTACATGCATTCCAAGAATCACTGTTTACTGAATAATGAATATATTTGAACACACACTGTGTATCAACGAAATAGAGGATTATGTGGTAGTCAGCCCTGATATGCCAAGGGCCTACAGCCTTTAGGCACCAAATCAGGTTATAGAAGAAGCATTTATTGCATTCTGACTTTATTCCTGTTAAATCTCAGCATAAACTTTAAAATTATACTGGCACCAGGGAGACCCAGATTTTAACCTCCCCTCAAACACAGAAGCACTTTGAGTGACTCTGGGCTAGTCTCACTGTATCAGGCCAAAGCACCTCACAGGGTTATTGTGGGGAAAATAGGAGGTTGGAGCATTATCTATATTGCCTTGGGTTCCTGAAGGCAGGATATTAATCTAATAAATAAATCATATTTAGTGAATTGGTATAGCTTCACTGGATGGAAGCTGCTCTAAAATTGCTTCATTGGCATGAAAAGGAATAATTTAGCATGCTGTTTATGATCAAATAAACTTCTATGTATATCTACTTATATTTTTACTGTTTGTAAAGTATACAGAAATAGTATTATATAGATACATGATACATTTCAAGAAAATGTGTTTGACTTGCTTGTTCAGTCTCTACTAGCCCATATTTTTAGATGCTCTATAAATGTTCTAAATATATCCGCACATTTTACATTAATTAAAACTATTTTTAAAATGGGATGAAACTTACTGATATTTTTATTCAGTTTCAGGTTCAGGATTCCATCTCCCACGCCCTTGTTCTGTTTGGGCGATGCAGCCTATTAAGAAGCTCTACAATATCCTTCCTTTTCAGAGAAGTCAGTCAATTTGCCAATAAATTGCAGCATGCCAACAAGGTACCATTCTGCTTGAGATTTTATGCTGTTATAAAGATGCATAGACTTCACTTTGACACTAGAGAATTAACATTCCTGAAGTTTTCTTTTTTTATAAGTATTCCTTGTTGACTTTCAATTGTAATTTATCACCAGATTTCAATATACAGTATGTAGGGATGATTTATACAGCCAGTGGTGAAATTCATCTAAACCATTCTCTGTAATGAACCTTGGGGAAGCAGCCATGCATGCACATGCATCCAGAGACTTCTGGGGAAAACTTTTGAAGCAGCTTCATTGAGTGACATGGCTGCTTTAATGCTTCAAGATGAGTTGGTTCACTCACATCATCGTGCTTTGCAAAGTGGTTCTTTTGAATGCTTTGTACAGTTCCATAAGCCAAAATGGGGAAGTGTTTAGATAACCAAATCATGGGCTCAGTGCCTTTAAGACAGGGAAATTAAAAGATATCCAGAAATGAAATGAAATGAAATGAAATGATTAGGTATTGTTAAAAATGGTTTGATTCCCAAGAGAAATGGAGCAGATTCTCTAAGCTGTTTCCTAGAGTCAAAACATTTGGCAGTGGTTATATAGTATAAGAAATGGAAAGATAGTTCCTTTCCTAGTTAAATTAATTATTTATTCATCCTTGTTACCATACCTCCATCTCTCATCCCTTTGTTGTGCTCCTGTATCTGTTCTGAGCTTGTAGGGGTAGAGCTCTGTTGTAACATGCTCTTTGTAAAATGTGCACATAGATGATATATAAATAAATAATGCAGAAGAAATCATGGATTGTTTATCTTCTCTGGCAAGAGCAGAAATATACCAGGAGTACTAGAAATCTTCCATATGTACTTGAATCTGGGTTTTTAGCTAAATGAGTTCTGTGTTGTTTGTCTCAGTTATGGCATAATAGTTCCTTGTTGACCAGAACCTAGATTGGCTGTAGGTCAACTCTATAAATGGCAAGAAAATACAAAAATGATGTGATCTTCCAGTCAACCCTGGAGAATGGTCAATGTCTTTAAAGAAAGAACCAGCTCTATGCAGATTAGGAGCAGGTGCTTGCTCTTTTCTTTTACTGTACAACAAAACCAAGCATGACAATCAGAAAACAAAAGTCTTTTTTTCTTCAGCTGAATAAGCAATGAAATTGATTTCATGAATATGAAATAATTATTATAAGAAGATTCATAGTAAAATGCAGTTAGAGCATTTTTATCTGCGTGTTGAGAGACACCCCATTTTGTCTTTTTGTAAAAGTAATTGGCAAGTCCCTGTAGTAACAATTGAATAATAGTCCATTCTCTGATAAAAGATGGTGAGAGATATTGCTGGATTGTTTTTTGAACTTTTTTAGTCTTCTGTACATTCCTGAAAAGGAAAGAAGAGCCTCCAAACGCTTTGGGAAGTGAGACCATTAGTTAACAGGTTGTTGCTATTAAGAAAATGCATGCTGTAGGATTGTAATTGTAATTTAGGAGGCATGAGTCTTTGCAACTCCATTCCACACTCAAAATATTATAGCAACAGGGTTCCAGGAAGAAATTATATCTGCAACCTAGAGAGTTCTGTTGTGGTGTAGAAGATGATGAGCCAATGGGATTGGCTTTAGGAATACTTACTGGAAGCCAGGAACTTTGATGAAGAAAGAATTCTAAAACCAATGACCAAGCACAGAAAGAATGGCATCCAGACTAGGATGTCTGTCCAATATATTATTGGCAGTGAATGTGGATTATAATATTAAAAAGCAGCACAGAACTATAAGACAAACAGAAATATATTATTGGAGAAAATCAGATATGCTCTGCTGAAGACAATTTAACTTGTGAAGAAACATGCTGAGATAAGGTACTTGTCAGGAGAATGACTGATGGTAGCTCTTGATTCACACTTTACTGTGGGCTGTCAAATAACAGGTTGCTGCAGAAGGTCTGCGCGAGGCCTGAGAATTCCTTGAAGCTGTGCTAAAGAATACTAACACTCAAAAAATAGATCCTAATGATATCCTCATGATAATATGATAGTAGCACTCATTTGTTTTAGAGCTGTTCCTCTAAGTAGGTATGTACCTCTCCTGTCACAGAAAAAGCACATTGAAGTACACTTCATTTATAATGTGTGGTCACTATGGGCCACCACTTGTATCAGATAAAAGCGGATAATTATTTCCCATGGATATCAGCTGTTAAAGTAATTGCTTTTACTGTTCCCCTCTTCCTCTGAGTAAAGCATGTTTTTATGAATGTGTTCATTATAAATGGAAGCTGTCTAGTTGCTTTGCAGTTTTGATAGTCCCATTCTTACATGGAAGGTGCAACTTAATTTTGTAACATTTTTGGCATGAAATAGCAGAACCTTGGGAAGTTTGTCTATAAAATACATTATGTTCTACAAAAATTGAAATGCTGATGGCCAATCATGCTGAATCAGTATTTTTAGTTAAAACCCATAGGATCTCTTTGATAATAACTGTCAGATGTAGAATCTGAACCTGCAAGTCAGAGGTACATCCATCTTTCTAAGTCTACGCAGGAATCAGATAGATAGCAAGTCTGGAAAAGAGATCTATTTAGATGCAAGTGAACTAAATGGAATGGAAACAACCAGATATTGTTCCAGATCGGTGTGAGAAACTAGTGCCATATGGAATGGACAAGCATGTGTTTTAGAAATGCAGATGTAGATTTCTGACACATCTTTTCACTCCTCTACCATCCAAAAAGCAACCTAGAGTATTAAAATGTGACCCTCTGCATTTTGTATTCAGTAGAATGACAGCCATTAGTTCAACTAAGCCTTATTTGTATCTGATACATCCATGGACATTACACTACAAATTCATCAGTCCTTGTTTAGTGACTGTCTCAGATAGTGACCGTTTGCAGTTACAACTATGATGAAAAAGTAACTTTTCAACCAATGCCTGCATTTATTACCTTCGCAGCATCTCTCTCTCAATCACATATTCACCATTACGGTCAGTTGTCCTGTGCCTGACTTGTTATTTTTCCCCCCACACACACACAGTGGAGAGATTGCTTAAACAAGCTATCTTTTCCTGAGTTGCTTTTCTCCATAATACTGCAAGTTAACAACCTCAGCTCTATGACCTTAATTAGCCCACTGGCAGCTGCTACCTGAAATTGACAAGACCCTAATCAGTTTCACACTAAAGCAGCTTGTGGCTGGCAGCCAGGAGCATGCTAGGCAAACAGCCAGCACTAGCACATTCCTTTCAATGTGTATTCCCCATTGTGTCTCTGCTTACTTTCTTATAATCCTTTCCACTCGAATGAATGTAAATATAAACTTAATTCTCTTCTTGCTAATTATCCCAACACCAGGGTGAGCATTCCAGAGGGCAGGGAGTAGGGAAAAAGGGCTATAAGATTTGCCCTTTTACCCAGCTTCCCCAAGAATTGAGCTTCCCCACCGTTTAGGCTCACCAGGTTGTTTAGGTCATATCCTTCTGACACTGTAAAGCAAAAGAAAGCTGAAGTAAAATCGTAAGCATAGTCACAGTCACATGGTTTTCACTTAGCAACCGCTTCAATTAATGACCAAGTTGCCAGTCCCAATTGCAGTTGCTAAATGAGAACTACTGGCATATATTTCTATATTTCTCCCTGAAGTGCTACTTTTAAAATGTGTGTGCATAGGCTGTTCATAATAGTAATAGAATGGCCCATCTCAAGGCTAGTCTGATGCTTATATGAGTTTCATTCCAGGGCCAAATAAAGACTTGGCTATTTATCCAAGCTTTTTTCTCATTAGGAACCATAATTTATTCTTACTTTCTCTTTTATTGGATTATAGAATTTGATGTTTTTATTATTGTTGTGACTTTTATTTTGAGTTATTCTTGTTCCATTGTTGCTTATTTTAAAAATCATTTGTATTGGTTTGTAACTTGTCCTGAAATCCACAGATACAAAGTAGGCTGTAAATACTTCAAGTAATAAAAAGTGAATCCCTACATGAAGCACTGCAGACAATTGTGTAGTTTATTACATTCGTAAGAATTAGAGCAAACACTAATTTTCTGGAGCTAAGAGTCATCTGTCATATTTTTATCAGAATTAATCATTGTAAGTATCCTATGGATTAAAAACGTATTTTGTATTTTTCCTGGCATGTTTTACAGTTGAAACAATTTGAAAAGGGCCTTGTTCAGAAATCTGTGTTTGGATTCATCATCACATCAAAGTGTTTAAAGAGAATAAGAGTAGGGGAGGGTGTGTTGATTGGAAACAGTAAATGTCCCTCTAGATTTTTCCAACTGCCAGTCAGTCAGGGAAAATTATAATCCAGAATTTAATATGAATATAGCTACCCTTGAGTTACTCTTCTAGAGATATAGAATTTACTATTTATTCTGAAATACAATGCTAACATATACAGATGAGCAAGTAGCAAAGTGATAATTAATAAATCAGCTGCTGAAGAGTAAGGGTTTTGTTTTTTCTTTTGTCCCTGGAGAACCACTAGAGTTATAGTACCACAAAAATCCATTTCCTTTTTATCCTTGTTTTTTATTTTACATTGTAAAGGCGATTGCCGGAAATGCCATAGAAAAGAATTTCTAACTGAATCACATATCAGAATTTCAGCAGATTTCCTTTACTTCAGATAAATGGATTGCAGTTCAGATGTGTTTGATTTTCTGGAAACAAAGCAAGGTCACATGCTATTATCAACTGGTTCACCTTCTAACTTGGAAAGCAAAAGAGGTGAAATGCTTGAACTGTATAGTGCAATTTTTTTTGTTAAGGCATGATTCCTTTGTAGTTTTTGACAATGTTCTAATCAACCCTGAGGAATGAAAAAAATGTAAAGGTTCAGGCTTGAGGTGTTTGTCTTTCATTCTTGAACTGTTCCATTGTATTGCACTAATGTGTCTATGTGATAGAAGAAACAAGCAAAATATTCGAAAGTTTAATATCAGTTTGGGGAAAGGACTGGAAGGACCAATGACCTGAAAGGAGACTTTTGTGATATGGAAGGGG